AAACCATTTCAGGTGACTACCTCTTGAAGCTCATGGAGAGAATGCCAAGAGTGTGCAAAGCAGTAATCAGAGCAAAGGGTGGCTATTTTGAAGAAACTAGAATATAAAACATGTTTTCAGTTATTTCACCTTTTTTTGTTAAGTACATAACTCCACATGTGTTCATTCATAGTTTTGATGCCTTCAGTGAGAATCTACAATGTAAATAGTCATGAAAATAAAGAAAACGCATTGAATGAGAAGGTGTGTCCAAACTTTTGGCCTGTACTGTATATTTATTATTATTTTTGTAAAGCCTGGTTAAAAGAAAGTCTAATAAAAATTCACCAATATTTAAGTGTACCTCACCGTTCAGGTGCAGCACACCACAGCAGTAGCACAAGGGTTTCAGTGCTGTACCTGAGTTTGTTTCATTGTCCTTCAGTCTTAATCAGTTTGTGACCAGCTGAATTCTTTCTGTCATTTATTCCTCAAGAGTGCTCAGACCTCCAAGATGAAGATGTTCATGTTCTTCCACTTGATCTGTTGGAGAGGACATCGCACAAGGAAAAAACAAAAACCGCGATTCAGTACTTTGGACATGTAAGGCCACCTCAGATGCTCTTTTACAGTACTGTGTGTTTTCATCATTGCTGCGAGGACATTTCTGTTTGATTAACAGCTCAGTCAGGTGGTTATGCAGGAGGCTGGTTGTTTTTAGCTGATGGTATTGTTGTAATGTGCCTTTATGTGTGTGTTTGTAAATGTATGTATCTGTAATAATAATAATTAAAAAACTCAATCACAGTATTTAAGTTATTGGTTTTCAGTAACATAATAAGTCTTTGCCCTGTTTTAAAGATGCTGATTTATCCATAAACATTTCACTTCTGTTCTCTTTTCATTGTTCTCTATGCACAGATGTAACTATGACTCAGCAAAAGTATCCTGTTCATGCACTGTAGGTAAAAATAAATGGCTTTGTCCACTTTTCCTTTTCAGATTGATGTCCTAATCAATAATGGCGGCCGCAGCCAGCGCTCTCTGTGCGTGGAGACCAGTGTTGATGTGTATGACGCCTTGATGGAGCTCAACTTCCTGGGTACAGTCTCCATCACCAAGCAGGTGCTGCCTCACATGATGCAGCGAGGCTCTGGGAGCATTGTGACTGTCAGCAGCATTGTCGGCCTCGCCGGGGCACCCCTGGGATCGGGATACGCTGCCAGCAAACATGCTCTTCAGGTAAAGGGAATACGGAGGGAAACACTGTGTTTGCTTACTCTGATTTCATTTTGGAAAGTGTTTGCCAACAAGTTATTGACTCGCTATTTTTCAGGAAAGCTTTTTTTTTAATCACAGAGGAGCAGGTCTGGTTGATCTGGATCTCTTCTTAAAAATACAAAACAGTATTTTTCAGCCTCGACCCCATTTTCCCATGTTTTTGTGTCTAAGTGACTAATGGAGACAACGAGTTGTGAAATTGGTCCAGTATTAAGTGCTGCAGGCGGCAGCTGCAAAGCAGGCTGCAATGTAACCACTTGGGGAAATTGTACACCGTCAATTTACGTCCATTAACAGTGCTTGTTTTTGCCACAGATGGGTCAGATTGTTAATAAAAATGTCTGACAGCATTATGGAAAGGAACCCTACAGAAGTATAAAATGTTTTTCTTTACCTTTCGCTGACCCGGTCTGTTTATTAGTGTGTGTAGCCATGTCTCGCTCCAGGAGAAGTCTCGTCCTGAAATCTCAAGGACATTTCCACATTGTTAAAATCAGGAAAATAATCAGCCATGGCATTGAAAATCTTTAAGATAACACCATGCTATGTTGTCTCCAACACAACAAACTCTTCCCAGCTCTCCTCCTTCCAACTCTGACTTATGTTTTCACTTTTGTTTTTCCTGCAACAAGTCACCTCTTGCAAGATTTCAGAATGAAACTCCTCCTCAAGTAGGACTCGGTCACAGTAACAAACAGACTGGATTTATTTATTTATTTAGCCTTAATTTAACCAGTTTTTGTCCCATTGAGATGGAAGACCTCTTTTACAGTGGAGACCTGGCAAAGTAAAGCAGCAACACAGTTTCAACAACTTAAAAAGCACATAGATTTGATGAAATTAAAATGATCAGATTTCACCACAGTTTTAAACATAGTCAGGGTCAACCTGTCTTGAAGCTTAAGATTATTCTGCAGATTGTGCCATGCAGTCGGTGCAGAGAACCTGAAAGCTCTTCTTTCCAGTTCACTTCTGATTTTAGGCACAACAAAATATAAAAAGTCCTGAGGATCAGCAAAAGGTAAAGCTCATTGTTTTATTTCTCTGTAGGGTTCTTTACATAATGTTGTCAGACACTTAGAATAATAAATTTGAGCCTGTCAGTGCCAAAATATACACTTTTAGTGGCTGTACATTGGTGGTATATGATGTCCTGGGTGGTTACATTGCAACCTGTTTGAACCCTGCACGCTGCAGTCCTCTCGCCCAATACACTTAGACACTAAAACATTGGTAAAGGGGTCTAGGTTGAAGAATATTAAAGTTTATTTTAACTTTTTTTAGTTTTATATGTACGTCTTTTTACTGATTGTTACTGTGTTGTCGTCAGGGTTTCTTTAACTCCCTGCGGCCTGAGCTGACTGATTTTCCAAACATACTCATCAGCATGGTGTGTCCAGGGCCTGTACAATCACAGATTGTCCACAATGCCTTCACAGAGGAAGTCAACAAGGTATTAATTACCAACCTGTGTGTGATATAACAGTAGTAGTATTTCAGTGGGATGTTTTCAGTGACCTGTCTTCCTTCCATTCCCCAAGCCCCTGTCTGCAGCTGGAAGCCAGGAGCACAAGATGGCAACAAGTCGCTGTGTGCGTCTAATGCTGGTGGGAATGGCCAACGGTGTCAAGGAAATGTGGATTGCTCAGCAGCCCTTCCTCCTGTTCTACTATCTCTGGCAGTACGCACCCACATTTGCCTGGTTCGTCACAAACGTGTTGGGCAGAAAAAGGGTGCAGAACTTCAAAGCTGGTCTGGTAGGTGTATTATCTGCTTTCAGTAATTCTGTGTGTGTGAAGTCAATTTGCATATTCAAAACATAGGCTGGATGTATCATCAGGGAGGTCTACTGAAAATTAAATATCACAGTGTTTTGTGTCATGACTCCATGAAGATAATATGTAGGACAGTTATTTTTTTTCAGCAGAGGACCACCTAGTCCAGTTAAAAAATGGTAATCTTAAAGGAATAGAACAACATTTTGGGAAATACACTTACTTTGTTGCTGAAAGTTGTATCAGACGATTGATATCATTCTCCCGTCTTACATATAAATATGTTGCCACAGATTATTTTAGCATAACAACTGGAAACAGGGCTCTGTCCAAAGGTAACAAGATCTGCCTACTGACACCTCTAAAGTTTTAATTAACAGGTTATGTCTTGTTCAACACACTCATAATAAATTTAAAGATCCAGTATGTAGGATTAAGGGGGATATATTAGCATAAATGGAATATAATAACTAGATAGATAGATAGGTAAGATCAGTGTGGAAGTAATTAATACTTTGCTATGGATGATATGAAACATATATGTACAGATACCAGTGCAGATACTTTTATTTTGGTAGAAGGTGCTTTAAAATTAAAAGTAAAGAGTATTAAATAAGGAACGCTGGAAAATATAAAATATAAACAGCACAGAAGGTTAACTATGAAATGCTAACAGAGAGTGAATATCTAAGTAAATGCAAACAGGGTGTACATATCTAAAGAAAATGTAAATGCAAATATTGCTAACATAACCAGTAACTGAGTGACAGTGCAGCAGCCTACAGACAGGTGAGCAGGTGAGGATTCAACTGTGTTTTCATTAGTGTAGAACAGGGAAACTCAAATTGTGTTGCACGGGGGCCACTTTTGCAGAATGACAGAAGGCCAGGGGCCAGTTAATAAACAAACATTAATTATATTTATCAGTATATATAGTAAATGAATTGCCTGTTTTCAACCTCTCAACAAGTGCTATCCTCATTCATCTTTGCTAAGAGGCAAATCCAGTCCTTAACAGATCAGGTGTATGCATTTTAGGACATTCAGGGTTTAGCCCAGACATGGAGGGGTCTGGGGGTGATCCATCCCTGGCATGATTTTGGATAAACAAGCTCTGTTTTGATGATTTTTTTATGCACTCTGGCAGTTTATTTACATTCAAAGTACAGGAAAAAATTTCAAGTGTGAATCCCTTCATTGTCATTGTGAAATAGAAAATGGTCAGCGGGCCACCCAGCACCCTGTCGTGGGTAAGATTTGGCCCCTGGGCTGTAGGGTGAGTATCACTAGTGTGTAATCACCTAAAACTAGTCCACAATGTTGTTTATACAGTAGCCCAGGACAGACAAACCAAACACTGGCTCCAATAAGGGCCTTCTGCTTCAGCCACCGTAGTCTTCCAACACGCTTGGCACACTCGAGAAGTTTGAGCTGGTTGCAATCTGCAGCCTCACCTAACTGCTTTCTTGGCTCTGAGCTGTTGCCAGGCAGCCAGCACAGACCACAGAAGTTACTGTTACTAGCCAGAAAATAGTCCAGCACATAACCCACCCTTAAATAATACACCACTTTGTTTTTTTTGGCTGTTTTAGGCTGATTCTACCTTTGGGCAGAGCTGAGGTAGCTGGTTCCCTGTTTCCAGTTTTTGTGCTAAACTAAGCCACATTAACCGTACAGACACAAGTAGTTACAATCTGATCAAGTGACTCTCGAAAGAAAGCAAATAAGCATATTTCCCAAAATGTGTAACTATATTCCATACGAAAGCACAATTACTCTTTTACATATTTAAGATGTATATACACCTGGTCAAATTCAGAGACAGAGGCTCACTTTAGTCAGAACGCACCAGAAAGGCTCACATGTGAAGTTTGTTGTTTCTGTACGTTCAGCATCACTACTGCACTCCGTATTGCTGACCTTGCTCCGTTAGATTCGGGACCAGGGGTTTCTCACTGTGTCAAAGGACTTAAAATACTTGAACACAGCAGAACGTGGCAGACACTATGCAGAACTGTGTCTTAACAGCTGGGGGGCCTCAGCTGTTACTGACCTTGCTTGAGTCTAATAAGAAGAAAACGGTGGCCAGGGTATGACAGTGAGCATGACTACTTGCCCGCGGTGCCGACTGACTGACCAGTGTGCCTGTTGGCCTCTGCTGGACAGTGACAGCTGAGGGCCGTGAAGAAAGGTCATGTTCCAACTGGCCAGACAACGGAGCGTCACATGCTTATACTTCAGTAAGGTCTGTGACGTATCCTTTGGAGACAAAAAAATCATGACAAAATCTACACAGTGTTCCTGCACAGTGAAGGGTAAGGCAGTTTCAGGGTCATGCTTGTGACCATCACATAATTACACCAGATTTAATGTCACCAGGATGCAGTACATGTAGAGATAGCTTCCCGTGTGAATAAAAATGTGCTAACAGCTAAACCTTTCTTTTGCAGGATGCAGACTCTGCATACTTCACAAAGCCAAAGACCTCCTGAGAGTCACATCGTCAGGAAGAAAACACATTTATTGCATTCCTCATCTTCGACCTGAACAGTGATCCAGCTTTTCCCACAGAATGTCGATATCTTTGCCTTCATCTCGACGGAAAACCTCTAACACGACTGCTTTAAAAGCTCACAGCTCTCTTCCCACAGCTTTGCAGGAGAGGATAGAAACTGGTACATTTTTATTTCATTATGCTTTCATCTGAAATGTAAAGTAAATCCTATATGCTGCTATTCTAATATATCAAGCATCCTCAGATTATCTGAATTTCTGGCCTAAAGCCTATTTGAATTTATAACATCAGGATTATGGATTCCATGTAGGAATGAAAGACGACTACTAACCTTCTGAATCCGCTAATAAAATTTAGCTTGAATCAGTTTTCTGCCCAAGTTTGTTCAGTGGAACGTAACAAAACTGCTTCTGCCAAGCTATTTTATTATAAGTATATACAGGTCCACATATAAAAATCAACAATATGTACAAGAGAATATGGACAAATTCATCCAACGCTTCATTCTAAATTGTAAACAAGTGAATTGTAAACAAAACAATAGCACTAAAACACTTTACACATACAGCGAGACATACCCAAGGCACATCCTTGATATCTGAACAAAACATTAAAATTCTTGTCCCATTTTTGTGGACATAAAGGGGGGAGGGGGGGTCACCTGAAAATGGTTAAATCTAAAAAGTACAATAAAACCAGAGGTATTCAGCAGGTGCCATCTAGAGGGGGGAGGTGGGCCAATTTATTCACTTTCTTTTAAGCACAAACATTGATAAACAACCCACAAACGCATGTGCTTTGTTGGAAACATATCGGGGATTTTCTCCTCTTTAATGTGCCATTCTAGGAGGTAGTCCACATTGTCACTTATAATCTGTTAACATTTTGCAACTTGTACAAGTGTACAGTGGTGATGCCACTGCGTCTTCGTATGTGATGCAGGAAATGAAGCACCAATAAAAGTCAAATTCATGTCAAAAACAAAGCAGGTTCCCAACAGACATTTTTCTGACGTCATGACTGATTTTGCTATAGTTTCCACATGAAAATAACCATTGACTTTGGAAATGGACGTTTAGCTGTGGTAGTACCGACTGAAGAGCATCTTCCTCCCTCTGTGGTGTGTTCGGCAGAGAGAGCAGAAGACGCCACAGGTCAGAGGCAGGGGAAGTGAAGGGGGGCTGAGGAGTAAATGGGGTATCCTAGAGGGGGATCAGCTGCTTGAACAGTCAGATTCCTCAGCATGAAGGGGTGAGCCTGAATGCTGTAACGCTCCTCGTCGTCATTAGTGGCATACAGGAGCTCCCAGGAAAGGTTTGCCCACTGACCTCGCACCCCCTCTCCATTCAGACGGCCCACCTGCACCAGCTGCTCCTGCAGGGACAGGACTCGCCCTGTGTATGTACCCTGTGGACAAGGACAGTCAATCACACATTTCACTGAGACTGGCTCTAAATTGCAATTTTAAGTACCCTCAATTTTACTCCAGTGAATGAATAAGAATAAGCTTTAGGTATTAACAGATAGTGTGGACAGGATGTAAACAAGGACTGTTGTGTGTAAATACCATAGCGAGGTCATGTCCTAGAGAGAATAAGAATGGTTTCTCCTGAAGGACACTGTCATGCCAGCCTTTCTCTGTCACCAAGCCAATGTACCAGTCCCTTTCATATTCCTCCAAGGTGCTGAATAACTCTTCGGGGGACTCCATGGGCCCTAGACTTGCTTGATCAAACAGCAGCTTGAAACTAAATCTGAAGGCAAACAAAACCACAGAGGCAGAATTCAATGACATATAATTATTTCCTCTGGCATAAATAATCCCCATCTAGTGATCAGAATTTCAAAAACCCTGTAACACTAACTGCCAATTTTACCTGAAAGCCCGAAGTGCTAGCTGGTAAAGTTCTTTACTTGAGGAGAGCCAGTCGAGTCCTTCTGTCCACGGTATATCTCCACAATAGAGTCTGTAGACGTAACTGGGACTGGTGAAGGTGGACTCTGCTCCCACTGAGATGAGACATGAAAGTGCGACCTGTGCGTGCAGCTCTTTCAAGGCTTCATCCTCCTTCAGGGCTTTGGTCATGTCCTCTGAGGTCTCGCCCTGCACAACAGGTCCAAACCGCCCTAAGGTGAACCGAAACCAGTCCTCAGGAAACAAAGGCCTGAGCTGCAGCAGGCGGGATGGCAGCAAGGGTGCAGTCCTCCACCCTGTCGGTAGGTTGAACACCTCCGACTGGGGGCAGCTGAAGTTCAGCTGAGGGAGAGAGCCGGGACTCTCACTGAAGACCTCTGGGTTACGGCCTTTGTCCACTGCTGGCATCCCAATACCGAGACCCAGAGGCTGCAGCGGCTGCAGGGCAGAGAGAGCCATGTTTTCAAAAAGACTGTCCATCTCCACAGAGCCCGGCAGAGAGGCCCCTGTCTGCAGTGCTGTGTGTCCAGGCTGGACCTCTGCGGTCACTAACGCCACTGTCCGCCTGGCTGGTTGAGGTCCAAATAAGTCGTCCTCATCCGACCAGTCACCAAAGGAGGTCAAACTGGAGCTGTCCTGTCTGAACCTGAGAGAAGACACATTGGATTCCACCACGACAGCCTCTGGTGGCTGGTTACACGTGGTCTGGGCCAACTGAGAAGACTGGGACTTCCTGCCTCCAACCCCTGGCCCTTCTTCACTGCTCCACATAAACCCTTTATGCTTCTGGACACAGTATCGGAGGAGCAACCAGACCAGTGCTTTCAGAAAGTCATCCTGAAGCTTCCTCAAGTTGTCATGTGAGTCAATGATGCCAGAGAGCACATTTCGGGCGTCAGAGTAGACTCGCACTGCGAGGGCAGCACAAGGGGTGAGGGCGTTCCCCCAGTGCATGTTAAAGCCCTGGGTGAAACCAAGCCGCTCAGGGCGCTCAAAAGCAGCTTCGAACACCTCATCCACTCTCCGTGCCTCCACTGTGTGGCAAGATGTCTCCTGTAGCTCCAGACCCTGTAACAAACCGCACCACATTATGAGGGTCCCTGTGCATCCTTACAAAGTCCTAAAATGTCTTAAATTGAATAGATTCAAGGTCTAAAGATTTTTGGAATCATAAGGGGAAGCATTAAATTTGGGCTGGAGCAAAATAAAAGAGCGTGTCTAAAAGAGCGATTTTTATATCCTACAATAACAATTTCCACAATGTCCAATACCTATGTGTTTGTACATTCCACTTGGTAGGTGGCAGTGACAAAAAAACATGTAAGGGTGCATTAATCGAGGTATGCAGGGCTGCACATTAACGGAAATATTAGTGGGATATTTATTTTCATTAGATATATTGGGGCTAACTGAAACCATCCAGTGATTTGCATGAGCTGGGGCTGCCCCCTTAAAGGGAAATTTTGGTTTATTTCAACCTGTCTCCTTTCGTCCTAAATTTGTTTCAAGTGACTAGTGACATAAAAATAATAGTTAGCATGTTAGCCGTTAGCCTAGATACAGCCGGGGCGCATAGTAGCGTCAGACCTGTTAAAACCTAAGTGAATGGGCAACCTTCAAGTGCAAAGTTAGTCCACTAAACAAGCTTTTTTCCACATGGACGGATGGATTTCTGATCCGTTGTTAGCGCAGTTAGCTTGTTTACTTTGTTACTGAATGTCACTGTCGCACTGAACGTCCCGCTGAACACTGTTGAAACTCTTTACAGATAAAAATGAGCAAATAGTTGAATGTTCATATTAAACAGCCAAATTTGATCCAACTGACATAATTCTGAGTCAGATACAGCCCTTGAACGAGGTGCAATGTGAACTTTGTCAAGCGCTGTGGTAGCACTTGAAAAAGTGCAATGCCCATCGAGTAGTTTGAAAGAAACCGAACAATGAAGTGAGACATTTCTTAAGCTAAATAAACCACAAAGACAGTGTCTTGTTTGTCTCTTTCTTTTACTGAATGGTTTTATTTTTTTCTTTTAGAGGTGTTAAAGGTCTTCAAAAGACATTAAATTTGTACTGAAAAAAGTGCACTCTCTTTGTGTAAGCTTGTTGTAAATGACTGCAGTGACTCTTAATAGACAAACAGAAAGACACAGTACCTTAATGTTAACTGTACAGAAGCCATATCCTCTCTCCAGGATCATTATCCAAACCATACGGTCCTGAAAACGTCCCAGAAAATGAGAGCCTGGGGCTAAAGAACCTACAAAAGGAGAAGAAAATCATCATCTAACATGTAAAGAGATGTGATCTTCAAATTGAGGGCAATGCAGAGGGGAAACGCTCAATATATGTACATCATGTAACACTCATGAGCAATGATGCACATTCCTTTCATTTTGCATTAGCTGTGCGTCCCTCTGCTGACTGTGTGGATAACATGGCTACTGGATGAGCTGCAGGGAGACACGTACCATCACAGTCGTACAGGAAGGTCATGATACTGTTTTAACTGGCTGACTGCACAGAGATCTAAATATTACATCTGTTCTTAGCTCTAGCTTTCCATTAGTCTCTAAAAATTCACTCTTTTCAGAAAAGTGAGCAGAAGACAGACGTTTATTTCAACACAGATGAGCAGAAATGGCAAGGTGATGGAGGCTTTTGTTTTAAGTTGACTAGCGCTTGCTTGGCTCAAGAATAATGTCATGTCCCATAATGACATCTCAAAATAGTCCCAGCCGCTACCTCATGATGGGAAGTGACAAGCTGGGTGGACTTCTTTGCCGCTTGCTGCTCCGCAGCCCCCGGTGTGAGCAAAGCAAAAGAACACTACAAACTGCCATCGTTAGACTGTGAGCATCAACCTAACAAGCGCTTATTCTGAATTATACATCACAGCGACAGCACCCCGAGCTCACAAAAAAACAGCGATGACATCACCTCGGCAGCTTTATTAAGTTTTGAATCATCAATCCATAAATAATGATTCTCTACTGTAATATTTTTTCTCTCCTGCACACTGAACGAAATCCTAGCAGCAGCTCTGTGCGGCCTAAGAGTATTACGCAGTTAATGGAGTGGAAATATTTGGATGTAATGAATACAGATCAGAGCTATTTTTTTTGGGTCACTTCACAGGAAGCTCAACTGGATCATGCGAGCTTGCATTACTGCCAGCGATTCCAAAGAGCTGCTCACAACAACATTCCTCCTCCCTATTAAACCATATGAGGTGATGGTTCAGCGCTTTGATCTGCATACAGTCTCTACTTGACCTATACAAAGGTTTAGTCACTGCAATTATAGTTCAAGTCAAAACATATTGCAATAAAAAATATCGATAACAATAATTTTTTTAATATTGTTGGAGCTCTGGAGAGTGGCGTGTGTACCGCTCAGGGCTGCAATAAAAAAAGTCTGCAAAGAGAAATGATGTAACTCAAATAAAAATAGCAATTTTAGTTACACAGTGATATAAAATTGAATTTCATTGTAATAAAACTTTAATCCAATTTTCAGGGTTAATAAATTAAAAAATATAAATTCAAAATATTTTGAGAACTGCATTTATTTATTTATTATGATCAATTATTAATTTATTATTATTATTATTATAATTATACCAAACAATTGTGAGCTATTAACTGTTTTTTTTTTAAGTTTTCTTTCTTTTCTTTTTTTAAATATACAAAAACAATTATTTGCAGCATTTCTTTTTAGATCCGGTTATGATATACTTGCATTCTGATAGTATATTCTGATACATTTACAGATCTTATTAATGCTAAAACAGTAAACAGTGTTTACTTGTAACATTTGAGAAAGATTAAAAAGAAGGAAGACACCACAGACAGAGGACATATCAAGCATGGACAACTAACCCAGTGACCCTCTTGCAAAGGCCGTCCTCAGAGCAGAGGCCAGACTTCCGCTCATCTGCTGGTAGAAGATGGAGTCTGGGCAGGGACAGGCGGTACCTACAGGGCCTGGCCAACTGCGCTGAGGCCTAGGGAACCCCACCAGGAAGACGGGCAGGGTGAAGAGGGGCAGCAGAGGGGCAGAGAGCAGGGC